GTTGATGTTTGTAGTTATTTACGCAGGTGTACCTTGGCGAGCAGTATGTAAATAATCAAACACTCTCGGATGTGACCTTTTTAGTTGAAGGTATAAAGCTATTCCGTTGTGAAACATCTTTTTGATATGCTATACTTAGAAGTTATTTCTAATGCAAATATATTATTATAATAATAAGCATGGACAAAAATGTGACACTTAATGCAAAGTGACCATATTTGATCAGTGGAGTCACCATTTTGTTATATTTTTGTATCACGTTCAAGTAATTTATTTTTCTAAATTTGATGGTTGGAAAGAAAGTGAAGATAACACGAATAAACTCACCTTATTCTCCCGTCTCTAAATTAAGTTCTCACTTTCCTTTATGAGATATATGTCCCTAAAAAAGTTCATATTTCCTCTTTTAATAATATTTTATAGTGAGACTCTTTTCCCCATGAGTAGTATGGAGTACAACATTAATTCCTTAGTTTCTCCACCATATCTTTAATGGGCTTATATTTTGAAAGTCAATACAAAAAATTATCCTGCCCAAAAAGGCAAAAACCCATGAAGTCAAACTATTAAATCAAGGCCAGAGGAAGTAATTACTCTAATATTTGTCTTTCATGTTTTGATCAGGGAAACGCTTCTATGCCCACCGGATTTGCCTGCTTGCTTCTTCAGATGCATTTCGAGCAATGTTTGATGGTGGTTATAGGGTAATTAATATTTACTTACTTTTCTCCTTTATGCTTTTGTTCCCAGTTACTCCTATGTGTGTTTATATAACCACTTTTGTCGACATATTGCAGGAGAAGGATGCAAAGGACATTGAGATCCCGAATATTAAATGGGATGTTTTTGAGTTGATGATGAGGTTAAACATCTACCCATACAATTGCTAATGCAGTAAATGTGAACATTCTAGTGGCTTTAATTTTGTTCATTTTTTTATGGCAGGTATGTGTATACAGGATCAGTGGAGGTTAATTTGGAAATTGCTCAGGATCTTCTGAGTGCTTCCGATCAGTATCTTCTCGAGGGGCTTAAACGTCTATGCGAGTATGCAATTGCTCAGGTGTGTTTATTATTGCTTTTTTTCATTCTCTTTTCTGTATGAGTCTTGTTAATCTGACAGTTTGCTTACTTGAATTAAAGGATATGTCTTTGGATAATGTCTCTCTCATGTTCGAGTTGTCGGAGGCTTATAATGCTTCATCCTTGAGAAACGCTTGCATTCTTTTTATACTGGGGAATTTTGACAAGCTAAGCACGGCAGGCCGGTAAGTTTATCTGATCTTCCTCTTTTGATGTTAATGAGTAGAACAAGAAAGTTATAGAAGAGACAAACCTGAGTTTGTTTTATTCCTTGTTATGCAGCTTCTCGGATTTGATTGAGCATATTTTACCAGAGACTCGCAGTTACTTTGTAGAAACACTCGCTGTACCAATTCAAGCTGACTTGCAGCCATAGTTTGTCATTCGGCTTTCAATTTTTTTAACCCATTTTTTGTCCACAAAAGGAAAGCTGTATAGAATTGGTTAGCTTTATAGTAATAGTTTTGAAAAGGAATTGGCAGATGGTTCTGGTTGAATGCTACAACGCATATCCATCCCACACTGGCCTTGTCTTTACATTACCACTCTCTTGAGTCTTGAATGCAAATGTGAATCACTGATCAGTGTTAATTTGATGGATCATTTTCTCTAAAAGATAAAATTATAGATGAAAAAGTATCATACTGAAAATTTAGATGCACCACTGGAATTCATTTCCAAAGGGACATAAGTCACATAACTGGAATAAGATGAGTTACAATGTGCGTTTAATGTGCCATTTTGTCTGGGTGACAAATGAAACGTTTTACTATGTACTCTATTACTCCGTAGTAAAAATAAAAATCTCAACAAAATGGATTATTTACACTACCTTTTACGCAACATCTAACAAAGTTACCATTTTTGTTCTCACAATTTTTAGTTTTGCAATGCTGATACAACGTGTTGTTTATGCAAAATGTGCATAAAATACTGTTGAAGTCTAATATACGAACACTGTATATAATAAGACTAAGAATAACCTATAATTTGTATAAAACATTTCGATCTCAAATTGTGAAAAATGAAACTCATATGTATATTTTGTATTCATTTGTGGCATCTTCATTTGTAATAATGTAGGCTTGTAGGGAGTGTTTACAGTTTTACACCGTGAATAGTTAAAATGAAATGCTTCTTAAACCTTAATAAGGATTTGCTTCACAAAGGTTCGACTTCTTTCGGCAAAAGGTGCTAAGGAAAAAGTGTAGGTACTTTGGACTTGTTTTAATTTCGACTAGATGGGTTCATATAGACTTCATCAAATATAAATCAACTAGATCAGAAAGATGAAACTAGGGGTGGACTCGGGTCCGGGTCGGGCCTAGGCCCGGGCAGGCCGGCGGTTCAGGAATGGTGGACCCGGGACCGGCCCGGGTAGCCACTGGGTCCGGGTCGGGCCGGGCCTCCGGTTTGATTTTTTTTTTGCTTTCCACGGGCCAGGTGGCCCGACCCGAGTCCAACCATAGATGAAACCTAAACAATTTTTTTTTTTTTTGCAACAAGATGAAACCTAAACATAACAAGTTAAAATAGACTAAATTAAACTTAAGTGATAGTAAAATATATTCCCCCTGTTTCGTTGGAGTTTGGAGTATTTGAGTAACACATGGAATATGAAAGTAAAAAAGTTAATATTTGTATGGATGAGAAAAGCACGAGAACTACAATTTTATTACCATAAAAGGAAATTTACAAAATTCTTGGAACAATTAAAATAAGAAAATTCACAAGACTTAATAAAACAAAGCTAATACTCCATATGTAATTTCAAATCTTATGAAATCAAACAAATTATTTTAGACCAGAACTAAAACTGATTTTTTTTTGTATAAGTATAGTCATCCTAAGTTTGGTACATTTTTTATTAAGAATGTTTTACATTCAAGTATGAAATAATGAAAAATATCATCATTTTCATCATCATTTTCATTTACCCCAGTGCCGCAAAGGCTCCCACCTACGTTGGAGTAAGGGGGGGTCGGATGTACGCAGTCTTACCCCTGTACTAAAACACAGAGAGACTGTTTCCGGATGACCCATAGTGAAAATGGCGTCCAAAATTGCATGGACTGACTGCTGCTCCATAACAAAGAAGCGCAAACAGTTCAGTGATCCATTTTGCTTTATTCCATCATAATCTCAAGCCAAAAAATAATGAATCTTTGGCTCCATTGCAAATGATGGAAAATATATGACGACAAAATTTTGACTTTGAATACTTTAGTAACTATCATAGTAACTTTAATGATTATGATTATGACTCTATTAATACTATAGTCACTATGTATAGTAATTATAATAATATTTTTATTCATGAGTTATATTTGAGTAATAGTTTAGGAAAACCTCTTTTTAAATATTGAAAAAATGACTTTATATAATACCAACTATCACTCATAAATCAATAATAATATATTTTGGAAGTGAATTGGGAGAAATGTCAAATAAAGTCTTCTACTATTACGAAATTGTCACATAAGGTCATTTACTCAATAAAATATCATATAAATACGTCTACTTATAAAAAGCAGTGAGATAAGTCAAAATGATCCATTGATAATCTTCTAATTCCGATTTTAGCTTACGTGCATGATTTTTGCCTTGTATTTAAGCCAATTCAGACCAATATTTCACATCAACCTTATAATCTATTTTAAAAAGATAGCCAAACATACAATAGAACTGGGATTAAGAGATTGTTAATTGGTCGTTAGGACTCGTCTGATTTTTTATAAGTAGACATATTTATATGACACTTTATTGAGTAAATGACATTATGTGACGTTTGCATAATAGTAAAAGATCTCATTTGACCCTTTTCTCGAAGTGATTTTTAATAATATCAAATGTTTGCGTATATAAAAAATTTAATATGAAGTCACTTTCAAATATTAATATACAATACTCTCTACGTCTCAAAATGATTTGCAAAGTCAACATTTTTTGGTCGACCACCGTTTAAGTGAAATCCCTTTTATTGATAATTATTTCAATTTTTAATAATTCAATTAATATATTAAGAAACTGCATCAAATATTTTCATAGTTACAAATACCAAATTAAAATACTCCGTATAATTTCGAATTGATATCCTAATTAAATGAATAAAACGAAACAATTTTGTACAGTTTAACAAAATAAAGTCAATTTATCTTCCTCTTCCTATAAAAAATCAAAGGAAAAATGACCTTAATAATAGGGGGTTGCTTTGCGCATCCCCATTATTGCTTAACGTAACCATACAATTACTATTTTGCCCCCTTTACCATTTTAAACTAAAATGGCTAAAAGATCAAATAAATAATAATCACTTAAAGTTAGATGCAATCTCAACACGTGAGTAATTTCTTCAAAAAACGGATACACCATCTAAAAGTTCCATCTAATGGTTCGATGACATGTGGCTAATCATATTTTTTACACATGTGCAGTGACATCTCCGCTGTCATCATCCGTGTCACTATTGCAGTCGCCGCTACCAGTCACAGTGACACATTCGCAGTGATAACTTCTGTTGGGGAATATTATCCCGGCCTACTACTGTTCAGAGGCCCAAAGACATCACCTCGGTATGAAGCCCAGTCAGCGAGGCCCATTTAGGTCCACCCGGCCCGTTGAGAGCCATTTAGGCCCACTCAGCCTGTCCGGCCCATATCGGCCCGATAAAGCCGTCCGACCCATTAGGCTAGAAAGCCCCCACCCCCCTCCTATAAATAGGAAGCTTGGCTTCCATATTAGTGATGGGTTTTTCTCTCCCCTGATTGTTTTCCTTTTATCATTTCTAGCTTAGAAAGCTTGTTCCAACCTCCATGAATGGAGTTCCAAGAAAACTTGTATTATGTAATTGAGTGATGGGAGAGTAATAATGAAAAAGAGCGGGCTTGGAAGTTAGCCTAAAAAGTCCCATGGTTTTCTCCATTTCCGGGTTTCCACGTAAAAATAGCTAGTTCATACACTTTTATATATTTATTTACTTTTATACCGAATCCATCGTCCTTAATATCCGAAGTTTATGTTGGGCTTCCGGATCTACGGGACTAAACCTCAACATTGGCGCTGTCTGTGGGAAACAAATAAAAAAGCATACGTGTTTTCTGATTCTACAAAAAATTTTGATGCAAAAACCTGCAAATTACAGCAAGAAATGAAGGAAAAAATGATTCCTAAAAAATTAGAATGGAAACAGGAGTTCAAGATCCTGGAAAACTGGAGACTTGACGGAAGGTGCAGCCACCTTCACCGTCCATAGTGGCCGCCACAAGCCGGAGCCCGGATGCCCTTGCTCGCAGGAACTCGCTGCTGCTCAAAGGTGGGAAACGTGGGAACCAACTACTGCCTTGGGAAATCTGAAGAAGATAGAAAACGGGGCCCACATACCCAGTAACTTGAGATAAGAAAAATGGTTGTCTACTCTCACGTGGGAAGACTGACGACAGGGTAGTTGCTGATGTGACAGATTCATGGTTATCCGAAAATTAAAACAAAAATCCATGCCTCGCACCCCGAACGCCAAAGCTAACAGCTGCGCTCGAAAGGAAATAAAAGAAGCCACCACTTTCAATAGAACTAGGCTGAACGGGAGTTCTGTCCTCGCTTAGGCCGAACGAGAGTTCTGTGCTCCATATCCAGGTGGGGCCCGAACCAACGTTGGAACTGCAGGTCCACTCTAGCAGCACGATCCTTGTTCAAATTACTCCTGCCACATCCAGACAAACGGAAATAACACGAAGTAGTTGATAAGGTCAAAGCAAAGGCCTCCTTCTCGAACGGGAACTCCGAACTCCGAGCCTAGAAAGGAACCTGAGGCCCTTGGCCATACCGATCACCCCGCCGGACCTGCAGGGCAGGCTATGCCTATCAACAGAAAAAGGATGACCATCCCAACACAGAGAGGCTCGGACGGAAGCATGCCGCTGAACGTGCCCCGTGTCCAAGAACGGTTTGAACCAAGAGCAGAACCTGCACAACGTAAAAGACAAGGGAATGAACTTCCCTGGCACTTGCAACCCGAACGAGAACTTCAAAAAACCTGCCCAGCTAAGAACGTAAATTCATTCTATTTATAATTACACCAAGCCGCCAGCACAGGTGCCTTCCCGAGCGGGAAATATCCTGGGAACAGGGCCTAGCTTTGCCAGAATATCAAGGGGTCAAAGTAATCCTACGCCCCTGACAGAAAACTACGCACCGAGAGGAGTTTGGGTAGAAAAAATCTACATACCTTGATGGATAGTGTACCCGGGGGTAGCTTATCCGAAGGGTTATCGCGGAGAATAACTAGAGAGAAGTCAGAGCAAACAAGTAAGAGAGAGTATGTATTTGATATGAATTCAACGTGGTTTACAATGGGAAAATGGGCTGCTATTTATAGCAGCAATAAATGCTAGACAGGGACACATGTCAAGCATCCGATGGCCGGGGGTCACCTCAATCGGGGTGGCACCGACACTTGCATGTGGCCGCATTAAATGCGGTGGTTGGATGCGACGTTGTACTTGGTACAGTGATTCAGGCGCATGTGGAGAGGAGATCCTGTCGAGGAAGACACCTTCGGCTGAAGGGTGTTGGACCGAAGGCTCTTCTTATCGGGGACCTCTCTATGCCGAGGGCGTCAAGTGCCGAAGGCTTAGTTTTTAAGCCTTGTTCTCATGTGATGTTTCTGAGCCCGTTTCCGTCACGGGTAGCCTTCGGCCATGGGGACGAAGGCACCCCTTTGTGTATTGTGGGCTGCTTAGAGCTTCATCTTGCTGGGCTTGGCCCGTTTGGGCCTGTTGGGCCTGATTGCGGTAGTGGAAGTATGTGGGTCGGGGGTCCCTGGGCCATATACTCCATCAGGAGTCTCTCACTCTTTTACCGAAAGGTACTTGAGGGAAAATGAGTAATTGTGTTTGTCCTCCGATGCTGCCTTGCTGTAGGTTGTAAAGTTTGCGAGAAGTTTCACCTCTGCGCGTTTTGCCGAGGGTAGTCCCTCAGTACCCCACATTCCGGGACTTGAAGGATTATGTTGATGTTTTGGGGAAAGTTTAACATTTTGTGATTTTTCCCGGAGGGGTCCTCCAGTCTTCCACTCCTTGAGGCACATGTAATGTGGTGAAGAGGAGTAGAGCAGTGTCTGTCTTCAATATGGGGCCGAGGGCTGACTATTTTCGTTTCATTTTGGGGGGATGCCTCGTTAAAAACCTCATTAGGAAAACCATGTGGGAAAAAATCTTAATGAGGGAAAAAGAGTGCAACGAATTCCCCCAATGATGAATCGAAAAGGTTAACCCTTGGTCTGAGTGTAGTGTCAAATGTCAATGCCAAAGGCTATCCTGATATGAGGGCTTGCTTGTTGAATTGAAAAGGCCGAAGGCTACCTTGGTGATATCCCGGTGATACCGAGGGGAGTCCCTCAGTCATTAGGGCTGAGTGCGTGTTGACATAGGTGATAGCTCCTGTGTTGCCGAGGGGAGTTCCCTAGCTCTTGATAAGTTGGACGCTGAGGGCTCCCGAAGGGTCCCGTTATTTTATGCCGGAGGCTAACCATTGATAAGGGGTTTGAAGGTGTGTCCCCGGGGGGTTCCCTGGTTCTCAACATGTTGAGGGCTAAGTGTTCCTGAGGGGTTTTCCCGTTTTGAAGCCGGGGGCTCCCCTTGATGAAGGAGTCTGAAGGAGTTAGCCCGAAGGCATGCATAGTGTTGTTTGAGGGATGCCAGATGAGGGAACCTTAGTCTGTGAAAGAGAGTCGTTGAGACATGACCGTTGGAATATGATATGATCGTTGGAATATGGACCATTGGTGGTGGGGTCCACGTGGCGGCTCCTGGTTGGATGACCTCGGGTGGGTGCTACCGGTTGGCGGAGATGACGGTTCGTAATGATGACTTTGGTGACCGGGGGCCCAATTTTTGGCCCAAGCCCGGAGTTGGGAGTCTATAAATATCCCATGGCCAGGGGCATTCTGTTAGTAAATTGATGTAACGTACCTCAAAAGTACAGTAGTGGAAGTTTAAAATTTTCCCAAACAGATCTTCCCTGATTATGACAAAACAACGAATAAAACAATAATAACAGATCCGAGTCAGAACTTACAGATCTTCCAGCCTAGCGGTGATAATCCTTGACCTTTGGTATCCACGTGATTTCTCCTTTCCGAAAGAACGGTTAAATCTCCCTAAGAGAAAGGCTAGGAAATCTCTTTGCAGGGAAATAAACTGGTAATACTGAATCTGAAAACTGGTCTAGATTTATGAAGGAGAATGGTGTATTTATACTAGTTCTAAACTAGTTTCCCAATCACAATGAAAGTCTTATTCATTAATGAGATTGGTCCTAATTAGATTAGAACTCATTAATGGATAAGACTTTCATTGTGATTGGGAAACTAGTTTAGAACTAGTATAAATACAACATTCTCCTTCATAATTCTAGATCAGTTTTCATATTCAGTATTACCAGTTTATTTCCCTGCGAAGAGATTTCCTAGCCTTTCTCTTAGGGAGATCTAACCGTTCTTTCGGAAAGGAGAAATCACGTGGATACCAAAGGTCAAGGATTATCACCGCTAGGCTGGAAGATCTGTAAGTTCTGACTCAGATCTGTTATTATTGTTTTATTCATTGTTTTGTCATAATCAGGGAAGATCTGTTTGGTAAAATTTTAAACTTCCGCTGCTGTACTTTTGAGGTACATTACATCAATTTCCTAACAGTGGTATCAAAGCCAAACTGATTTTAATTACATTATACGAATTATGACATACAAATTTGTGGGTCAAAATATTTGATTTTTTCAGAATATTGTTGCACCGTATTTTAATTTTTGAAGTTGAATAAGATTTGGTGTTCAAACCAATTTGAAATCTACGTTGCTTTACCAACACTTAATTTTAGAAATTGGAATGCAGTATGAGAACCCACTTTTTATTCTTCTTTTTGCTTCTGGTTTACTTGCGTTCTATCGATAATTACCGCCTGGGTTATTATGCACTTTACGAGCACCGCAACTAAAAGATCTTGTTCGTTCCTTGACGATCTCGCACTATGGTGGACGAGTGATGATTGAAAACGACTCTGGTCGGTAGATTTTGCGTAGCGACGGAGACAACCTATGGCGACCGGCGAAGATGGCGCTGGAAACCAACGATGAACCCGCTAAGAACGCGATCTGTTTTTTTTTTCTTTTTCTTCGTATGATTTGCGGTTTTTGGAAGCGGTGAAATATGCGGTTTTTGTGCTGCTGCCCTATTTTAGAAATTTGTTCAAAGATTGTTTTCATAAATTGGATTAAAACTGAGTACGTATTTGCAATTTCCTAGAATTCTAAAACAGCTTTGGTCGGTAACCTCGGTTTACTCGAGCTGAAACTCATAGTTGTGATTAAAATTTGGAGATTGTTTTTGTTATTATACTCCGTATAACAATAATTGATTTAAATTGACCCCTTTAGTTAGATTAAGTATCTTTGAGATTACGATGATCAATTTTTAATTTAAATCATAATTGTGATATTTTGTTTTAAGCATGCTTAATTAGTTGTTCGAATATTATATCTATTTGTAAATAAAATTTATATTGCATGCTTTATTTTATCTGTCTGAGTTAGATCTCGTTAACATATTATTTGGTAATATGTTTTAGCATCTTGATTAAATGGAATAATTTAATACTCCGCTAAACGTTCCCCATAAATTAAAATTGAAGTCTTATATGGGATAACGACATCACCCATCATAATTAAATTAGTAGAAATATTTTTTCGTTGAAGAAGATTTCACCCAAGTGTTTATTCCATTCGACAAAATATAGAACTAATTTATAGATGCATATGTTTGTCATCGTGTGATGGTTTTGACTTACTTAAATTAGCTCGAGTCGCCCAAGCGTCAGTGTTAATTTAAGGATGTCGATCAATTTAAAAATTGATCAACCAAGAGTTGTTTAGACACAATTGGTCTAGGGACCTACCAATTATATTATTGAAGTGATCAGCCCAAGCTAGGACTGTTATAATTTGAATGTGGATCTTGGCCACTATGATTGTCAAAACAATCTATGTTCTTTTTATTGGGGTCAAAGAACATGAAAAATAGTGGGAGCTAAATAATTAAAAATCCATATTATTTAGTTAACTAAATGTGATCATAGGAATTATTATATGAATTTTAATCCCCGTTCTATTTGAACTTCTTTAGGCTTTTAGGAATGTTGAATTTATCATTGAGAAGTATCTTGGAAACATGCAAGCTCCTGATGCCAACTCTCCTGAGTTTGCCACGTTTGACCTGACTTTCTGGACTGGGAAATAAATGTGCGTTTAGTTCTTAGACAAGAAAATATTGAGTATGTGTTAGACACACCGGTACCCAAGATTCCTGATGCCAACTCTCCTGAGTTTGCCACGTTTGACCTGACTGCTCGAGAGAAACAAGTCACTGATGCTAAAACTGTGCAATGTGTTATGTTGGCTGCAATGTCTATGGAGTTGCAAAGGCAACACGATAGGATGAGCGCCTTCGAGATGCTTGAACACTTGAAAAGTCTGTTTGATTCAGAAAGTCAGACTCTAGAGTATGAACTTCTGACATACATTTTCAAGTGTAGGCTTCAAGAGGGTGGCAACGTGTCTGGGCACGTCCTCAAAATGATTGGCTTAATTGAAAGAGTTGCTACCACCGGAATTAAGTTTGAGGATCGTGTCTCAGCTGCTATCATCTTATATTCGCTTCCGAGTTCATTTACTAACTTCATTGTGAATTATAATTTGAACAAAACGAAAGTGACCATGCCTGAACTCCATAACATGCTCAAGTCTTATGAAGCCTCAACCTCTAAAGGAAAGACTGTTCTTATGGTAAGCTCTAATGCTAAGTCTCGTTCTAAGAACAAGAATAAGCAAAAGAAGAAAGGTAAGATTGAACATACTCTTACAGCTCTGAAGCCTAAAGGTGGAGGTCATATGAAGCCAAATGTTGCAAAGGATGTTTGCCTCTACTGCAAAGAGAAGAGGGCATTGGAAGAGAGATTGTGAGGTGTATAAGGCTAATCTAGCCAAAGCACCGGGTGCTTCAAGCTCAGGTATTTTTATCATTAAATAAATATGTCTATAACTAACTCTCATGGTTAAAGTATTAGATACAACTTATGGCTTACACAATTGTAAAAATGTGCAGAAGCCTGAGAAGCAGTGTAGCAGTTGGACTGGGTAAAATTGACCTACGCGTGAAGGTTGGAGCCAAAGTTGCTGCTGAACGTGATATGATCTTATAGTTTAGATTTGTCCATTGGTTTTAGATTAGAATTAAATAATTGTTATTTTATTCCTTCTATTACTAAGAAGATTATTTCCATTCATATGTTAGACATTAAAAGATTTCTGTTTCCATTTTGCTAATAATTGTTATTTTCGTAAAATGGTGTTGTTGTGGAAATGCTTTTCTTATGAATGATTAATTATCAATCGACATATTAGATATTAAATGAATAAAATAAAAGGATCTCGATTAAGTAATCAGAAAAATTACTACCTATCTATGACGTTGCAAACTTGGTCAAATTAATGAAACAAGAATAACAACGTTAAATAAATTAAATTATTTAACACCATTTGCTTTTGAGTCATATGGAAATTGTGAATCTTGTCTTTCAAGTAACTTGACTAATAAACCTTTTCTAGGAAAAAGGATAGCAAGCCAAAGAGTACTTAAGTAAAATTTCTGATTTATTTAAAAGGTCAAAGAATTCGGTCATAATGAACTCCTCCAGAACGCCTTAGAAGTCTGGCGTTTCTGCAAGGAGAAATAGCGCTTTGTTAGACATGGCTAAATCTATGATGAATTCATTTTCTCTTCCAAACATTCTTTTGAGGGTACACACTATAAATCTCAATATGCATTCTGAATAGTTTGATTAGTGCAAAACGTACTATATGAGTTATAGTATAATAAAAGACATTTTCTTCACATATTAAATATGGGTTTCCCTACATATGTAAAGAAATGTGCACTAATCAAATTTAAAAGTGAAGTAACGTAGAAAATGAAGATTCGTTAGATGGTCTGACGAAGGATTCAGTGGGAGAATTAAATTGAAGAATGTCTCTAGGAGGATATCCTTCAGCTAGTGGGAGTAATATAGGAAGCGCTTTGCACCAACAAGTGATTCTTATGAAGAAAGTAATGACATGGTTGTAATTCCTTCTGCACCTAACTCTCCCTCTATGAGTATAGCACCAGAAAACTCTCTGAGCATTGGATAGTCCAATAAAAGAGAACATCTTCACGATCAGAATGAAGAGTCTGAACAAAATGCAAAACATTTAATTCTATGGGTGTACTAGGATTCGTCATGAACTAACTAGGTTTGGCTTCCTCATGGAGGATCATAATGATTTTAAGATTCCTGATACAGATGAACCTGAGACCTACGTAGAAGCAATATTAGATGTTGATTCATAGAGGTGGCGAGAAGCCATAAAATCTAAAATGGACTCGATGTGTATCAATCAAGTATGGAACTTGGTTGACTTGCCTATTGGGGTTGGACCCATTGGATGCAAATGATTTTCAAGAAGAAAATTAATGCTGAAGGCAAGGTGAAAACATACAAAGCTAGGCTAGAGGCTAAAGGTTATAGTCAAAGAAAAGGAATTGACTATAGTGATACGTGTTCGCCAGTTGCAAAACTGAAGTCCATTTGGATTTTGCTTGTTATAGCTGCATAATATGATTATAAGATTTGACAAATGGATGTCAAAACCCCTTTCCTTAATGGAAACCTTGACAACTAGAGCCTAGTAAATTGTTGCATTCGATATAACTTAGGTAAGCATTTAGATATGTTAGTTCCTTCAAGAAATAGGGGTAGTTCCTAGCAACAGTTATCCAATAATTGTTATTGTGACTGTACCGGTGCATTCGCACAAGCTAAGGAACCAAGATGCAAAGTAGGGAACTAGGAAATACCTGTGTGCTATCATGTTTTTGATAACAAATAGCAAGAGGAGAAGTTGCAATAGAATGCCTTCCCATAGAGGACAATTTGGCTGGCCAATTCACCAAACCTTTGAGATGCGAGAAACATACTAGACTTTTGAGAGTCTAGGTGTTAGACGCATCAGTGATTGGCACTAGGCCAAGTGGGAGATTGTTAGTATATATGTCCTAGCGACAATCACTTTTTAGAGATATATGTACTTGATCACATTCAGATTCATATATTTGATATATACGGTATTACACATTGATGATTAAGTATTTCGATTGTCAATATCTTATTCATAATTGTGTTCCCTTGGACTTATGTTGTCAATAAGTAAGTGGGAGCTTATATGATATAACATAAGGTCCTAAAATAGCCCCAATCAATGATCATCAAGAATGGGATATTGATGATATGCGATAAGATTGGTATGTGGACTGCATCATACTTTTAGAAAGTATAGTTGATCTCACAACTATGAGTTCTTGTAATTCATGATGGTCACATAGATACTCTAGAGAATATTGGCATACCCACCGAGAAACCATTTGATAAGTTCTATTCATGTGTCTATGGGATTATCGGCGTATAGAGTAGTGTAATAGTCCTCCGACTTGAGGTCAATATGTACTACATGTGCGGAGTGATGTACTTTGACCATGACCAACGCTTGCACTCCAATCGGGGTAGATACGGCATGTGTTGGGTGCATCACGAAGCACATGGAGTAGTAGTTGAGCCAAGAAAGGATTCATTCCTCATAATAGATTAAGAGAGAACATTCTACTTCTCATATCTAGATGGATCATAAAGTCATTGGCCATTGCAAAGATATATTCGTTTTGGATATCGAATATGATCGTTATGGATCATCTAGAAAGATTGAGAGACATAGACTAAGCTATTGGAATAGACACAATATCATATTCTAGACTTAGTTGAATGTTCGTTGAATGAAAGGATCGTATCGCTATGGGCTCTATATTACAGGGAGTTTGAATAGTCCTCGCAAACGTCCTTATATATTAAGTTTGTCTGGTAAATCGTCTAGGGATTCTACTAAGACCTTAATTTGATTAGTGCTTAATATATAAGGCCCTATGGATCACACAACAAGTGATTATACCTTCCGGTTGAACTGTTAGAAGGAATTAAATATTAATTGGATTAAATTATATTTAATTCGTAATACTGAAAATGGATTAAACATAATTAGATTAAACATATTTAATTCATGAAGTTGAAGGAGAGTTTTATTTGATAGAATTAATTAAGTAAAATAAATTAGATTTATTATACTTAATTAAAGTGTATTTATATTTAAATAAGGTTATATTTACAATTTTTCTAGAGAGAGAAAATTTCCTTCGGTCTAATCCCTATTCCCGAGGTCAGTTCTTCCTCTGTCCTTGGTAATTCTTGCACATTTTGCTTTCCGGCCTTAGATTAGGTGTTATAGTCCTAGGTAGAATTTTTTCCTCAGACCCTTCGAACACTTTACCAAGGATGTCGTCTGCGAGGGACTCTCAAGACATCTCGAGGGAGCCGTCTGTCCAGGCTGAGAGCTATTCAGACGTTGAGCCTTCAAGTGAGCGGTCCTCGGTACGTAATGACTCCGCTGTGGCCGAGAGGATCCAAGACAAACTTCGGACTGAGGCGGAAGCAGAAGAGTTCGAACAAGTGGTAGAAGATGAGGAATTAGCCCTCGCCGTTCAAGTTGCGGAGGAGGAAGAGGAGAAGGAACGTATGAAGATGACTGTCGCCGTTCTGCCCCCCCCCCCCCCCCCCCCCCCCCCCCGTAAAAACGACGAAGCTAGAAGCTCTCGTCCCCTCGACCCGAAGCCTCTTAGGGTCGCCCCGGACAAGAAGAAGAAGGTAAGGGCCGCCCCGAATAAAAAACAAGCCGCCGTCGACGCAGAGCAACCGGTGAACATTCCCGAGGGCTATTCATACCTCAATACTGCGGCTCTGGACGTGAAGACGAGGGCGACGACTGCCGAGTATCAAGCAACACAATTCCATGTGGCCCAGCTGATGTATTATTGCATGCACCTGAGGGATGCTTCGCTGTCCATGTCCTCTCTGTGGAGTTGGGACTTCGATTTCCGTTGCACCCTTTCTTGTTAGAGTACATAAGGTTTGTGAAGCTCGCCCCCTGGCAACTCACGCCCAATAGTCACTCTTACATCTCGGGCTTCGTTTCCTTGTGCCGGAGCCGTGGGGTCCCTCCTACTTTGGACCAATTTTTCCTATACTTCAATCTCTGTCGGGACGGGCATTCAAACGCTGAAGGCTTCGGCAACTTGCAGCAGGTTCCGGGGTTTAGGCTTTTTGATGATGTGCCCTCGTCCCACAAGGGATGGAAGGACAAATTCTACTACATCCGTTTGGTGGAGAACCCCTTTCCCAGACCACTTCGCGATAGCTTCCGGAGGCATCCGAAGGTTGAAGGAGCCATCCTTGAGAAGAATGGGAGAAAGCTGTCCAAGAAGCCGGAGGGGTCCGAGAAACATGTATTAATCAAAGATGCCACTCATCCGGACCAACCGTATTCCCTCGGCTTCCGGCGATTCCATCTGGTGGGGGAGGAGGATGAGAGATACTCCTTGATTGATCGGACCTACCGAAGCGCTGAAGGTTGTTGCCTTGCCGGGGGCTCTCATTTTTATACTTAGGACTTTTTGCTCACTTTGTTGTAGTAGTATCCTAACATCTGCATTTTTCCTTTGTTTTCCAGGACCAGATATGAAAAGGCAACTGGCCAAGGAGGGCAAGAAGAAGGAGGCCCCGACTCAACAGAGGGCCGTAGACGAGATCTTCTCGAAGGCGGGAACTGGGAATGACGATGGGCCTTTGGTGAAGGCTCCCGTTGGTGAGGATGCCGACTCTGCTGCCGAGGGCTCCCCCGTCGAGGATCTTAAGAGGAAGCAGGCTGGGAAGGCCGCGGTGCCCCCCGGAGGGGAAGAAGCAAAAGAAGGGGGCTGTCGAGAAGAAAGAAGCCCCCATTGTTATTGTCGAGGAACATTCCTCCTCCGAGCCCCCGACTCAAGTTGCTGGAATGGCATGGCCCTAGGAGAACGTGCAGTTCTCTATTACCAAGGGGACTGCCATCATGCACGGCACCCTCAACCCGAGGGAGTTCTTGAGGGGTGCCACCCCTTCGACAGATAAGTCGGTGCTATCCCGGCAGGCTGACGATGCCCTCTGCTCCAAGGTCCTCCAGGCCTCGGTCACTATAAGATTTTTTCCTCCCTTCTTTCCTTTAGTCAAATGTATTTTGCATATTGTGCGTAGTAACTTAACTCTCAATGCCTTCGGACTCCCTTTGTAGGCATGCCTTGGGCTTGGCGAGCTCATCCAGAGGATGGAGCAATCGCAAATTCAGAGGGCAAAGCTGATGAAGCCTTGATTGTTTCCCGGAAGCAGCTCCAGGA